CTCGGTATATACATGTTACCTACTTTGTCTTTATTTAAATTCCTTTCTCAAATGATGTCGCTTGCAATAAATTATATTTGGCATCGTCTCTGTAGATGAGAACATTTGTAGTACCCCTGTACTGTACCGAACCACACAGTTTAAAGAAAAATGAATACATTGAGCCGTTGACCAGTATCCCCTAGATCCTTATTACTTGTTTGTCTGCCAAACTACACGGTACGGTTCTGCGTCGTTCGTCAGGCTTTATTTACATTTTTTTTCCTTTTGTCAGTATATTAATTTCATCTTACGGAATATGCCTGAGCATCATCGAAACCGGAGTCGCCATTTCCAACAGGAATTACGCAGAATGCGTAAGAAATTAAAGAAATTAGAAGCCATTTCTATGAAGAATAAATACATTCAGCACCGCGGTCGATCGGCAACCAAACGACCAGTGAAAAGACGTGCCGAGGTATCGCCATCACCGCGGACTCTCCGAGATCCCGACTTGAAAATTGTTCTGTTGATACTGTTGATAGTAAGTAATCAATATTGGAAAGCTATTTTTTTATTTAAATTTTCAAACATTTAAAAATTCTATGTTGGCTTGTGGAGCAGATTAGATTAGATTAGATTGTGTTAGGGGATAGACCTCTCTGCACTGTGACCTGAATAGATCTATTGTGCTTCCTCTTTTTCTAGTAGGTTCCGGGATTGGTTCGTTTAACATCCGTAGCAGTCAAATGTGTCTGCTCCAGATGAATGAGTCTTCTGTGACATAACGCTTCGCATTTGCAGAGTATATGTTCGGCAGATTCGGATGCTTTTTTGCAGAAGCGGCAAAGGTCTGATTCAGCTTTACCCATCTTTTTCAGGTGGTAGCCAAGAGGGCAGTGGCCGGTGAGGAGACCCGTTATGAGCCTCAAGTCTGGTTTGCTGAGTTCGAGTAGTTCCTTTGCCTTTGTTGACTTTGGCGAGATGAATTGCTTCGCCTGTCTAAGTCCTGGAGTATTGTTCTAATGGGAGGCCTGTTGTGCCTCTGCCCATTTTTTGAGTTCGGTACTTACATGGCTTTTTGTCAGGCCAAAGAAGGGTTCTGGACCGAGGAATGGTGACCGAGCGCCTCCTCTTGCAAGCCGGTCCGCTATTTCATTTCGTTCTATGTTTTGGTGCCCTGGTACCCATGCTAGAGTGACTCTAATGCAGTTCGCCAGTTGCTTTAGAAGTTGATGACAGTCCCAGACTAGTCTGGATTTAGTGACAAAGCTGTTAAGAGCCTTAAGTGCTGCCTGACTGTCAGAACTGATGAAGATTCTTGCACAGCGTAGGTCTATTTCAAGACACTTTCTGGCGCAGAGTTGTATTGCATACGTTTCTGCTTGGAATATGGTGTGTTTTTTTCCTAAGGCTACCGATAGTCTGTAATTGGGCCCACTCCGACCCCTTCTTCTGTTTTCGATCCATCTGTGTACCAGATGGATGAACCGTTTGGGAATTTATGTACGATCTTGTCACTTTTGCGGTCTTCTGCGGTCACACTAAAAAGGTGATTAAATTCGTATCTGGGTGGCATGATGTCCACCGGTTTTGTTGGTGTACCATGGCATTCTTTAATGATGCTCATATGTCCAACAATGTCCCCTTCCTTTAGGTTTAGAGACCGTATAACCCTTAAGGCCCCCATATAGGCCTCCCTCCCCACTGCAATGTGCAGAGGGATGATATCTAACATGACCTCTATAGCAGCGGTTGGACAGGTGTTCATGGTACCTGTTATTCCAAGACATGCATACCTTTGTACAACTGCCAATCAGTTTTGCCCTGTTTGCTGCATCACTTTTGGCCACCACACCAATGCAGCATATGTCACCAGGGCTGGGACTCTGTAACGAATAGAGATATTTTTTTCTATTGCTATATTGAGGTCTCCACTCTATTAATTTTGACAAGACAGAAGAAGACAGCAAGTGCCATAGCGATAGGAATAACAATCTCTATCCGTTACAGAGTTCCAGCCCAGGGGTCTTATAATCATCGTATATAACCAATAGATCATTTTTGGCTTTAGACCCCATGTTTTACTGAATAGTCTTCGGCATGTCCAGTACTGTTGCTCGATCGATTATTCTTTTTAAATGTGAGTTCCAGGTGAGCTTTTGATCAAGGACAACGCCCAGATATTTGACTTCACTTGAAAGACCTATTTGTACTCCATTCAGTGTTGAAGCTATTAAGTTGAGCTTCCTTTTCCTTGTGAATGGTACAATTATTGTCTTGCTAGGATTCACCCTTAGACCCTTTTGCAAGCACCAGCTTTTGATGATGTTGAGGGCATTCTGCATGAGTTCACTAAGGATCCTATCATGTTTGCCTCTAGTGATGACTGCAAGGTCCTCAGCATATCCTAGGACCACAAATCCATGGTCACTTAGCTTGTGGAGCAACAATAGCCTTTAAACTGCATGCATGAACATAAAGTCAATTTGCCGTTTGCTGAACAGAGCTTATTGACCTACTTGTTTGATGAATACAAGTCTTACCTCAATTTTCTATTCAAACTACAAGAGTCAAAGTCGCTCTCCATTCAATCCAGTTTACCGGAAAAATTAGATCAGCCATCAAGACCAAGAAAGGAGGGGGAAGGAACAACCGCCAGACCAGAGAGATACCGTCGTTAGAATTGAAGATTGGTAATACAGCAGGAAGACTGAAAAACTTTTATTCCATTTGGACTGGTATTACTTCAGACAAGTCTGTTTAATTCCCCATTAATGGTTTCAAGATTCCCTTTTTCAATACTTTCCATCAGATGTTCATACCTAGGAAACCTAACGTCCTTAAAGGAAATCCGAGACATTCAAATTTCAATTGACAAATTTTTGAAAATTGGAACCTTGAGCATGGTAGCCTGGTCCAAACAGACTAATCATTAACCTGAAATCTCTCAACAAATATGTTAGATCCGATCATTTTAAGATCGAAGATCACAAAACCGTTATACACCTTTATATAATAATTGTTTCATGGCGACTCTAGACTTAAGGGACGCTTATACTCTTGTTCCGATCAGTGGTTCGTCGAAAAAATTTTTAAAGTTCAAACTCAGGGATCAAATTTATTGATGTCTCCCTTTTGGTCTCAGTTGTGCACCTGTTTGTTTCACAGAAGTGATGAAACCAGTAATTGGTTCCTTAAGAAGTAGGGGCTGGATCTTCGTCATATACTTGGATGACATTTTGTCAGGATAATGTTTTAGAATCCATAGCGATGTTAGACTCATTGGGTTTTATAATTAATGATAATAAAAGTAATATGGTCCCGTCACATTGTTAATGTTTGTATAGGAAATTCATATTTCCCACTACTCTGGATAAAAGCTAAAATTATTCCGCTTCCAAAGGTTTAAAATGTCTCCTTCCATTCGCAAATTCGATCTAGATCGGTACTTCCAGTTCTATCAAAAGTCCTTGAAAAGGTAATGGAAAACTAAATTCGAAGTTACATGGATACCAATGAACTGTTTCCACTGAGGCATTTGATTCAATAAACCACGATTTATATTGAAATATATTGGATTTGAATTTTCTGCTTTTGGTTTAGCTCAATCATATTTATAAAATCGTCAACAGTAACCCTTGATAATAAAATGTCGGATCCTTGTGAGGTGGTCGCCGGAGTTCCTCAGGGAACTATTTTGGGTCCTCTTTTGTTCACAATTTATACCTCACAATTCGACAAATACTTGAAACACTGCAGTAGTCGTACTTACGCAGACGACAAACAAATACCTACTACTGTTATTTAGTCCCACACAGAGTCAGCAAGCATGTGTTCTTTCAAATGAGGACTTTGGGACGTTGTCTCAGGTGGCAAAGAATCATCAGTTACAAATTAAATCAGTTGCACTTCTTTTTTGTAGCGAGGTGCATCGGGCTGGTATTGCTGGTAGCATGTCATTGAAAATTGATGGTACAAATCTGCCCTTCCAGAATTATTCCAAAAACCTAGGTCTAATAATGGATAATAAACTAAAATTAACCGAACATGTTACAAGCAACATTAGTTTAGGGTACTGCAACTTAAAATTGCTTAAAAGAGATTTTTCAAGGGCGTATATAGTTTTAGACCCAGCTAACCCAGATACGAGGTGACCAGGAGCCCGATCCTCGGGCCAGGGAGAAGAGCTCCCCGATAGAACGAATGTTTTGTCTTTGTCAACGTAATCGAAAAGTAAATGAGAATGATAAAGACGAAAAATTTGTTCTCTCGAGGAGCTCTACTCCCTGGCTCGAGGATCGGCCCCCTGGGATCCAGGCATTGTGCTGGATTATATTCGCTCCTTATCAGTTGTCGACTTGGATTTAGAAACTTTGACCCAAAAAGCCGCAGTTTTGATAGCTTTAGCCACAGCTCACAGAGTCCAAACTCTTTCCAACACTGAAACCGACAATACCAAATGACGATTCTGTGACTATAATACCAAGACGTATAAAAACTTCGGCCCCTGAACAAACGTGAAATAATTAAATTTAATGACTGTTGTAAAGTGAATTAAGTTGAAAAGTATCGAATTTTGGTTCAAAAACATTAAAATCAGAAGGAACTTTTGGCCTTCTAAGCGACTGACCATATTTTGAGAGTCAAAAATAACTGAGACACAAGAAAAGATTTTCAATCATTACAAGTACTTATAATACTTGAAAATCTTTTCTTTCTTCATAGAAAAATGATGACAAAATAGACCTATAACATCATGAGAATCACTGAACAATGTAGCGTCTTAGAAAAAATCCACTTGCAGCAAAATCGCAAAACCGAGACACGTTTTAAAATGCTCAAAGAACATTTTCAACTGCGAAAAAGAAAAAGCTTTAGTCTAAAACTTTTCAAGTCGTGTAAAACACCTTCACAGTGGTAAAGGTTAAAATTAATGATCTGTTTATTTTAATTTCCTCTTGTAGAAAAATCGTTTTTTAACTTAACTGCAGTTTCATACAAGAAAAAAATCTACTTACGTCATTGCTTGATAAATAAATTCAATTCCATATCTCATGGCAAATTCGTCCACTATTTCTTCGGGCGCTTCATCGAAATACACTTTCCAAGCGTCATCGCCTTTGGCCGCTGGCAGAGTTACAATTCCGTTATTCTCCTCGCACAAGTAATGGAACAAGTTCTCGTGCAAGCAAGTGTACTGCACGTGATAGGGCGCCACTTTTTCTTCACCTTTAATTTCTACAGAAATGTGAAGTCGAATCGCACCGGAAACTGCTGATTTGTCCGTACGTTTTTCCAGATTGTACCAAACTTCCATTTCGCCTGAGAGAGTTCGGACCTAAAGGAATTTGAATGATGTTTAAAACAATAGCAATTTATGTTGAGAAGTTTTGAAAAGCTTGACGACATACTGATAGTTAACGACTGTTTTGGGTGATATCCTTGTGATTTCTTTCTCAAAAAAAAAAGTTTAGTTATCTACCTCTATTATCGTTTGGCCTAAAAAGTCATCCGATTCTCTTGTAAGTTTCTGTCTTAGTTTGCTTTTCAAGTCGTTATCTTCGTCCCACACTCTCACTTTTATTCTGTCGGAGCTGTTATGACATTCACTGAAATAAAAAGAAAACAATCCATTATAGTTAGGTACATTTATTTTCATAAAAATAGATGTAAAGGGGATAATTATTTATGTGTTGACCCTCGTCTTTTATACCTTGAAACATTTCTTGTTCTATCTAATAGAACTCGGTAAAAGTATTAGTTAATCCTGAAACATCGGCTACACGGCCTGTCAACGCTCATAGTGCAATAACGCAAATTTCATTTCGTTTTCTTTGTTAATACAAGACCAATATACAGTGATCAGTTTTCTCTATCGGTTCTCGTTTAATTCTTTCCGCGTACTCAACTTCCCTAAGAATTATCTTACAAATTGGCGCCCAACGTGGGGCCACGGTGAGTTTCAAGACTGATTATTGTGTGCCGATCGCGATTTTCGTGTAGTTGTTCGACGAAACCCATGGTGTTTTTCTCGCTCGTTTGGCACGGTAGTCATCACCGAGAAACAGTCGAATTGTGAACAACTATGACGCGTTGGGTACTGCATGAGTAATCACCGGTTTTCTGTACTTTTTGTGTGAATTATCGAATGTGATACCACAAGAGGTTTCAGGATTACTGGATAATACTTTTACCTGCCAGGAAACGCGTTACGCAGCAACACCACGACTCCGAAGGAGGAGTGGTGTTGCTGGTAACGCGTTGAGTGTCAGGTAAAAATATTAGGTAATCCTGAAACATCGACTACACGGCCTGTCAACTACGAGATGTCAACGCTCATAGTGCAATAACACAAATTTCATTTCGTTTTCTTTGTTAATACAAGACGAATATACAGTAATTAGTTTTCTCTATCGGTTCTCGTTTGATTCTTCCCGTGTACTCAACTTCCCTAAGAATAATCTTACAATTTTTTATTTCTTTTCTATTCTTTTTAATATTATAGCCCTGAAGAAGGAACAAAGAGTTCCGAAAGCTAGGCATTTGTGTTAACTCTTTTAACAAAACTACATATTGATTGACCGATTTCCCTATTATTCATAACCCTATTGATTATTAGCCGTCGTTATCCAGAAAAATAAATTAATTTCCACCTTAAAAGACGGGTGATTATTTTTTATCGGTCATCAAGAATAAATAAATGAATGAAGCAACAAGTTGACAAAATAGTCGAATGTGCCCTCATTAAACGCCTGTACATTTAGGAAGTGAGTCCTCAATTACAGATTGTCACGAAATAAACCAGAGGAAACTGTCCTCCGGTCTCCAAGCATTATTAATGTTTATTTCTTCACTACAAGCCAACTGTAGCATCTACGAGGAAATTTTTACAAGTATTTGATTAGAAAAGTTTCTAAAACCTTCCCGAGCTTGCACACAAACACTAAACCTATGCATAATTCATATTAAGGTGCAATAGAAGTTCAAAATGAATTATTACACACTGTACAGACCCTATAAATATTTTATAATGTTGGGTTAGCATAGCGAGCACAGATTGCTGTGTTTCAAAATTAAACAAGATATTATTCAACAAATCTTCCAAAAATTCTTTACTTACAAGTAAAACTTTTCATCCCAAACAGGATTAAGTTCCTGAGGCATGGTTCTTGTCCGTTTTTTCACTTTACCCACTTGGACGGTGACGTAAGGATCCGATGTTCCACTTTTGTCTTTGGCTATCAAGCCTTGAGCCGATTTTACTAAAAAATTTTAAATTATTTTAAATAAATGCCGATCGTAAATAATTGGCAAATTACTTACTAGAAAATCGACGAATCATTATAATTTTCTAATAAGTAAGTATTTTCTTACACATCAAGTACAATTAAGTGCAGTACACCAAATGCATAGGTATATGTGTAAAGATAAAGATGACATGCTACAGCTAGAAAAGTTACATGCTCAATAGGTTGAAGGATATAGAGACAGGATACACACCAAAAGCAAAAAAAAAATATTTACATTAAATTTGTGTTGAAATGTGGAGCATATTTGTTAATATAATATGTCGGATTTTGTATTCAAGGAGGAGTGAATTAGGTGTGGATATGTGCTACAGGTTATCTTTGTTACCATTTTCGGACTGCCAACCTGAATTGATATGTTAATAAAACACTATTCAATAATCCATTTTCTGTAATAAAAATTATTCGGAAGATTAATTATTAGCTCCATGAATTATTTAAAAAGCATGCACTTTGATTTTTCAAAGCTTATTTTTATTAAAATTTTTCTTTGTGTATAGCATTAGGCGTGATAAAAATCCAAGTGCGTAGCTTTAGTGAAATTTTTGATAATTTAATAATAATTCTTCAGTGTGCATCCAATGGAAAAATTCTGCCGACATTTTTTAAAAATGTTCCATTAAAGGTAACTATCAGGCATCATGACCGTTAGCTACATTCTATTGGGCAAGCTTTTAAGGTTTTAAACATGATGGAGAAGAAGATGTAATAATAAAAACTAATCCTACTATCTCGTTTTATTACAGATTTGTTTTTAATAATATCTTTTTCTAAAATTATATAATGAAAAGACTAAAGGGGGTATGAAAAAGATGCACATAATATTTAATAGTTCGCATTCGTTTCAATGTATTAACTAGCCTATATATAATCTGGAAGATTTGAAAAAGTGAGTTTTGCAGGGGTGGTTTTGGGTAGTGTATTAGATTTTTATAGGTAGTAATATTTAAATTTTCATTAAATTATTTTTAATGTCAGTCGTTTTAATTTTGTAATATTAATTTTATTTTAATTGTTACACATCCCCCTGTGACCATAATAAAATACTTTAATTTAATAAAGAGTGCGTTTAATTATGGTAATAGAATTAATTGATTGAGCTTTTTCGAATGTCATTATTGCAAATTTCATTTTTGCGTTACAATAATTTCGTTAAGTGCGGCTGTTGATGACATTTATAGATACCTAAATAAATTTTTGAATGAAAATGCGACAGAAAGCACATTTTAATGAACGTTTAGTTTAAATTTTAAACAATTATTTTTGGTAATATTATTGGATTTCTTTGAATGGAAATGGCGCAGTGGCGTCCTCTGTCAGCATGGTATAGATCCAGCGATAGTCTTCAAGAAACTTGACCTACTTAAACAAAAAACCAGCAGCCTTGGGCGGAGAAAACTTGCATTTGCCGCCACGGATGATACGAGTATCCAGTACGTCAGAAAAATGCTTGAACTCCTATTTGAATACGAGAACACCGACCTGGGGATACTTGTTCCAAAGCCCCCTCGATACGAGAGGAACGAAAATCCGAGCAGACCGAGGAAGCAGTTTGAAACGGTCATTGTGAGAACGGGGGGGGGGGGGGGGGGGGGGAAAGCTATTGTGACATCCTAAGGAACGTCAAAAACTCGGTGGCATAGGCAAGCTATGCATCAAGATATCCTCCCTAAGAAAGACCGGCGACGACTCCCCATGTCTTAAAGTAGACGGGAGTAAACAGGACGCAAACTCACTGAAAAACGTGATCCAGAAAAATATAACTGGCACTCAAGTTAAGGTCAAATCTAGAGAGCAAATTTTCTTCATACTAGAAATAGATGGAGATACTACCAGCGAAGAAGTAGTAGATAGAGACTATTGCTAGGGTAAACGGCATTGATCGAAAAAATCTGGAGGTTAGAGCGATGAGCAAAACAAGCAAAAGCGGAAATCAATCCGCCATGGTCGCCGTGCAACAAGGCTTCGACTGTAAACTCCTAGCAAGATTAAAATGGGATGGTCCACCTGTAGAGTAAAACTCATGGTCCAACTAACACGCTGCTATAAATGCCTAGGCTTTGGGCATTGGACCGTACACTGCAAGGGCTCAGATAGATCCAAGAACTGCAGAACTAAGCTATACTCCCAGGAACCACAATGTAATGAAAAAGGGCACAGAATGGACAACGCAGGGTGTCCCAAGTTCCGAGAACTAATCGAATAACATAGGAGAAAGCTGGTGGAGACCTACAAGCTAAATGGACAGTAGTGTTTACATTCCTAGAAACCACATGACCTCCAAGGAAGATCAATACAGGCCTAATACCCCATCCTCCTTTATCAAAATAATGCAGGTAAATCTCAATTGCTACCACGCAGCACATAATCTAGCAGGGAAAGGAACATCGACATTCTATCCATCTCGGAACTAAACCATAAAGAAATCACGAAGGGAGGATGGCTACTGACTTAAGAGTGGACGCTGCCCTCAGAGTTACTAATCGAAACTTAACCTTCAACAGCTCGGGATCAGGAAATGGTTTTGTATATATTGAATTAAAAGATTTCACTTTGTACAGCTGCTACTTTTCGCCAAATGCAAGCACACACGAGTTTAAAACAGCCCTGGATGCCTTGAGAAGCTCCATAGACCTCCTGCAATAATCACGGGTGACTTCAATTCAAACTGTCTGGCCTGGGGTATGCCTTTCACAAACGGTAGAGGTGATTTACTCACCGAATTTATGGCCTCTAAACACCTAGTCCTCCAGAATACGGGACAGGAACCAACCTTTCAGAGAGGGCAGTCTTCCTCCATAGTGGACCTTACTTTGACCAAAGGCCAGACCGATTCTAGGATCGTAAATTGGCGAGTTCTCAACTAGGAAACTATGAGTGACCATAACTATATCTACTTTGATGTCCAAATCGGTCAGTACGCGTAAAGACACTTCCTGGAACCAAAAGAAGTTAAATCTGGAAAAAGTGGAGGAATTCATGAATGGGGTAACAATCCTAGATCTGCCCGGCACTAGTCCAACTCCTGTACAGCTTGTGCAATGCATCCATGCTCCGAAAATCGAGCAATACCAACAAAAGATCTGTCTACTGGTGGTCTTGCCTCAAAGCCAAAAGGAAATTAACCCGGAAAAACCGTCAACAACCAGAGAGAAATGAGGAGTCCAGAACCAAATACTCAAAACACAAAAAAGAACTGAAACTGGCCATCATGGAAGCCAAGAGATCCTGCTGGGGAAAGCTGTGCGAGAAGATCAATGAGAACTGCTGGGGAGATGGGTATAAGATCGCAATGGAAAGACTCAAAATGAACACCACAAACAGTGCTTTAACCATAAAAAGAGCCAAGGAAGCTGCAAAGGAGTTCTTTCCAGCTAGACCACCGATTGCATGGATTGACCCCCGAGACGGAGACCAGGAAATTCTGGAAGTCACAAACAAGGAGGTCACTGAGGCTAGTGTCAGGCTGAAGTCGCACAGAGCGTCTGGTTTGGATGGGGTTCCTGTCGACGTCATTGAAGCGGCGGCCACGAGCCACCCAGGAATATTTCGTTACACCTTCAACAACCTGATCAAGAAAGGAGAATACTCAGAAATCTGGAAAAAGGCCAAATTAGTCCTCATTGAACAACCAACGAAAGAGAACCAGGTGACACCAAAGTACAGGCCCCTGTGTCTCCAGATACTGTAAGCAAGCTCTTAGAGCATATTATTCTCGCGAGGACTTAAATCTCAGCGAGACTCTCTCAGTCAGACAGTTTGGTTTTAGAAAGGGCCAATCAACCATAATGGCCGTTCAAAGTGTGCTGGAATTTCTAAGGGAAGGTATATACAAACGAAGCCGTAGGGTGGGGATCATTGTTACACTTGATATCAAGAACGCTTTCAGCTCAGCCCATGGAAAGAGATTGTGGATGAAATCGAAAGGAGAGGTGCAGCCCCATACTTGACTCAACTCTGGATGAGTGAGAAAACAAATGGAAACTGACATGGACAGAGGCCGGAGCTGTGACGTACAATGAAACGAAGACCGAAATAATGTTCATGCCGGGGCGCAGAAATACACGGGTACCCAGTAGCAACAAAAACGATCGCAGAAGGGCAAGAGAGACCAGAGTCTTCGACAGGTAACAGCAGTGCTGGGAGAGCGCGCAGACGGGGACGGACCTCTTCCAACATTGCAAAGAGGTGGGGCTGGACAGACTCAACCTCGGCTTCAAGGCAGTTGAGCTACTCACCGGACACGGCAATCTCAGACAATATGTGAGAAGGTTCAACCTGAGTAACAGCGATAAAAGGTGTGAGTGTCAACTGGCTGAGGTTGAGGACGCAAGACACGTCCGAGAGTCATGTCGGAAGCCCGAGAGGATTCGAGCCAGGAAGGCCATACTGAGAGAATACGGAGACCTCACCATCGTGCTGAGAGCAGATGGTGGGGCGGTGCTAGGACAGGCGGAAAAGGCAAATGGGCGGAGGTGGTGATCGAAATCACGGACACACAAATAGAAAAGGCAATGTAAATATGTTAGATTTAGGATATGTTAGGATAGGATAAGAAATTGTTAGATGTAAGGAAAAATAAATTGGAAAAAAAAAACTTGTTAGTTGTAAGAATAGGCAATGTAAATAGAGTTAGGAAAATTTAAATAGAATTAGGAAAATTTTAAGTTAAGAGAAACTTTTAGTATAAGAAAATAACTGTTTGGAGTAAGGAAAAATCTGTAGACATAGGAAACCCCCGCTAACTATCCATGGTCGGAGCTGGGTGTAGGGGCTCCGGAACTTGGAACAGGTGTTGCCTCGGTGGTGGTTTTTCTACCTAGTGGGTTCGAGCACCGACTTGGACATGACAATGCTGATACTGAAAGCTGGGAAGCAGCACTGTATGGCACATTCGAATATCGAATGTACGCTGCTCCAGTGTGGGGATCCGCAATGTCGACGGATAACAATTG